AGTCGATAGCAACGCCGCCACGATATACCGTCAACCAAGTGCAGGTCTACGGATACGGGTCAGTCTACCGAGTCTTCGGGCACAAAGTGATCCGCCGTAGTTACCTGACATGGAGCACTGATACTACTGTTTGACTCTACACAACTGAGTTGATGAAGTGGTAAAGATTTTCATCATTATCTGACATTTTCAACCTAGTACGCTGGTTTCCATGGATCGGGGGAACAAAGCAGTATGAGCCAGGGTTATTAATCAGATCGCTGCGCTTGGAGGTAGTAGCTAAGAACAATAAGACCGAGGGAAAATACCGTGTAGCTGGAGAAAGTAGGCGGATAGGCAAGTGCAAAGGGGGTATAGAACAGTTTTTTAAGGCGAGTCGATTTGAAATCACAAGCTGTGTAGGAAATGAAGCGTACTGATTCTAGAACAGGAAGGTAGGAGCCACACATAAACCAGTGGAGAGTCGAGCCGCGAGCGCGTAGGCGCTTGTCGCCGTCAACAGGGAGTCTCTGGGGTCGTTTTGTTGAATTTGGATGTCTCTTGAAGATAACCGCGACTAGGTCAACTTTTTCCGAGAGAAGAGACTCCTTGGAGGTGGTGCATGCTCAGAAAAATGGATAGAAGTCGTTTCTGTAAGCTGGTAGTGGTTGCTGTCCAATGTATTGGATGCCGTATGGATCTGCGTTCAGGTGATGCGGAGCAGGAGGCATGATGCCTCGCTGAGCATTCGCAAGCATCGGAGGTGGAAAGTACTGATCATAGGGGGCGTATACAGCGGGCTGATTCTGATTCGCTGGCACGGGATCGTCGACGAGGAAAGGATCATTGCGCAGGCCAGTTCCCGCCGGTTGTCCAGCACCGGCTATGTTGGCTGCCAAACCTGCTCCTGCAGGAGCACGATGCTCACCGGGAGCGTCAAGATGGGGTTGGCCGGCCGGAGGTGGGTTGTTAATCGCATTCGGCATGTCGTAATGTCCAAACGCAGGAAACTGTATAGCATCCAAGAATCCCTGGAAATCGTCGATGGCTTGCGCGAAGGGATTAAGTCGCTCCCGCTCCAAGGCACGCTGTTGATTTGCTTCGAGTCGAGCTTGGCGCTGAGCTTGCATAATAACATTGAAGGCCGGGTCTCGATGAAAGTGGTAAGGAGCCCTCGCCCGATCCCTTCTCTGATTTGCGTTATTCGCCTCCGGAAGTTTCACCTGGAGTTCCTCACTGGTGAGGCCGGGATTCTCTGCCCGAATCTCCTCGATTGTCTTCTTCTGTGCTTGTTCGACCTCTTTCTGGTCACGCGTGGGATCATCTTCGACGGCACAGGCGTTGGGACCATAGCCGAAATGAGCATATTGTTCGCGGGTAATGTCTTTCTTACACAAGTAACACATGCAGCACCTGCAACTCGGGCATGTCATTTTGTTGCAACCGAACTCCTTGACGATTTTGACTTTGCACCGAGGACAATTGCGAATCAGAGCCTCACTCATGGCTTCTTCGACCAGGTGGCGCTCAGAGACGCCCCTGTCTTTTTTCGCTTCTTCGCACGTTTTGGGTACGTGGGTGACATACTTGCATAACCGGCAGCTGACCACCTCACAGGATGGGTTGCAGCAACGGAACTCCCGGTCTTCATCGACTGGTGGGCAGATGGCCTTGAATTCGCAGAATGGGCAGCTTTCCAGCCCTTCGATGCTGGCACGAGAGATCTCGTCTTGCTGTTGGAGAGCATCCAATTTTGCCATCATCGAAGATCCAAGCACCTCCTTTATCTCGGAGCGCGGAAAGCCAGCCTGACAACCGCTAGTGTCAAAGCATTGAAGCTGGTACTTCATGAGGCCAATCTGTGTCTCTGCAGATTTGCGGATGCAGGAGAAGCAGAAGAAATGAACATTCTCTCCTTCGCATGTTATGGCTCTGTTTGGAGGAACATCAGAATAGCAGCATTGGCACTCTACTAGAGTCCCCGCCCGGGCGTGCTGCTCTTGGTTCCTTCTCTCGGCCTCTTCTTGCCTTTTCTGATTGTGAATGAGCTCTGTATGCACTAGTCAGCAAAAGCGAATCTCATACTGACACTGACAGAAAAGCTTACCAGCATCCTTGGCAAGCTTTAGCTTGGCATCTTTCGCTTCCATCTGCAACTCTCCATAGGCCGGATGATTGTATATGTCCAAGCGTATATCCTTATGTCTGCGGACTCTTGCCCGTTTCAATTTGTCGTAAGGCCGCCGAGTAGGTGCAGGCGCATTTTCTGCAGTTGACAGAGCTTGACAAGCTGAAAACAGATTCTTCTTCTCCCTGAGTATCTGGCGGATGTAAGAATCTGGTACAAAGGGGAACATGTCTCCGAGTAAGTACGCCCTAGAGCAGCGTCGTAAGCATTGGAACAGGTCTCATACGTCGAAGACGTCGCAGGTGAATACTTACGCGGCTTCCTGATACCAAATCTCCCCGTCGTGGTTTATAGATGTCCATTTATTATCTTTGTCATCGTCTTTGGTCTCTTCTCTCTTTCTCTTCAGCTGTTTGCGCTTGGGATATGACGGGTTGGCCAAGATTTCCTCGACCACCATCTCCTTCGTGGCCAACAGCTTTTCAGAGGCCACATTCGCTTCAGCGAGAGACATGTTGCCCGCATAGCGAGACAAAATTCCTTTCAGATATTCGCGGCAGATATCTGGAAAAAGCTCCATGATCTGAACCGACAATGCGGCTGTATCATGAGAGTATTGACAGGGAGTGGCCGCCATGAGCGTGGCAGGCGCAGCTGTTGTTGGAGTTGACATAGTACCTGGTGCTGGAAGGGATGGCTCGTCAGTCAAGTCAATGAAGTCGGCGTGCTTATCACGATTGACAGCTATCCTCTTCGCAGGTCTAGCAGGAGTGGCGTCCTCGTCTGACCAGTCAGAGTCCCAGTCATAGTTCTGTACATCGGAGTCCCAGGAGGAATCGTTGTCAAGATCTTCCAAGCCTGATTCGCTTTGGATGTCATGGTCGAGGGCATAGTTGTCTGCAGCCTCTGCGGCAACCGAGCCCATGGAGACCTGGGCCATCTTGGCTCAACGAAAAGAGGCAAGTAGCAATCGAAGTTTAAACAGTACAGCTGGAAGATAGATAAGAAGTTTTCTACTTTGCAAGTACGTGCAGATTGTGCTTAAAGAGAAATGTGAAAGTGTGAAATGAAAGTAGGAAAGGTGATTGGGAAGAGATCTTCTGTCGAAGCGAGGGTACGGAGGGAGATGGAGAGAGAGAGAGGAGGGCATGAACACTGGAAAGTTCCAATAAAGATGGGGGCTGGTCTGAAGGCCGGAAGGAAGACGTCAACAACAGATGTGAGCTGGTTTTCCCAAGTTTCATGAGGCCTATGATGGAGGCTGGTAGAAATCAGGACACTGAAGTGAATACATCGACCTCCACGAAACTGGGCGGTCCTGCAAACTAATTATTATTCATGCTTGAATGACAATAACAGTGATCTATACGAAAGAATATGGAGGTAGAACAGAATAGATGCCACAAGTCGAGAAACGAATAATAGAGCAATTGGACTTTCTATCAATGGAGATACTGGAGAGATGATAAGCCTGAGGCACCGAGGAAAGCCAGCACCTACTGTGTTAGAACTTCAGGTTCAAGAGATCATCATCATCTATCATCGAGACGGAGACTATTCTTCAAGTTGATGCGACTGTTTGTTGCCAAATTTTCTAAGCTAGAATTTTGCTGTCTGCCCTGTAACCTCGAATGAAGCGCTTCGATTCGATACTCAGGATATGATCAAGCCTGGGGCAAACAAAATCGCTGGTGGGGCGAAGCTTCGAGGAGAAATGGACTTGACTGCTGCATCACGTACAAGGCCCCATGAAGACTCTCTGAATAACTCAGGCAAGGCGAATAGCCCAGTGCTGTTAATATGAAGAGACTTCACACAACAGGGCGTCTATCTTTAAGGCACGAACAACTCCTCCAAAAGTAAGACAGCCCGCCCCACGTGATTCAATATGGCAGTATGAGACCGCCTGTCAGTTGTTCTAATCCTGGGTGAGACACGGGCCATGATGGAACTATGAACGAAAAGGCTCTTCTCTGGTAGAGATCAGGATCTTAAACGTCAAAAGTTTCACATCCTCTGCAATACAAGCATTTAAGTATCATATCGAACGGATCCAGGGCTCGAAGCTAGATTCGTGTTCTGGTCGGGAGCCTATCTACTTTTCCCAATGAGGTCTAGCGGGGTATTGACCTTGGTTCCATCTGCCAGGGAAGCTAGTCCGATTAGGAATAGTGTCGTCATTAACAGCTCCCTTGGGAGTCTCCTTGGGTTTCGGACCACGACTACATTTTCTTCATTGTTATGTCATTTGAGTACTCTGATAGTTTGAAGAATGCCAGCAAGCAGAATTCTGAATGGTATTCCTGCTTCATGAGGAGTTGGATGATACCTGATGATAGGCTCTACATGTTTCACTAGCAAAGGGCGTGTGACTAGGACAAAGACGAACTAGCGCTGGTCATCAGACCCAGTTCTACCCTGTGCCCTAACCTTCATAGGCAACATTGATTGTGCTGAACTCTGGTACATACTCCGGAGTCCGAAGTAGCTAGGGGGTTATGGAGAATTCTCTCCGCATTTCCTCCGTTCCGCTCTAAAGGGCCCCATACGTCATGACCAGGACAGGCAGGTACAGCCTCCAACTAGAGTGCTTATCGCTTGCCATCGCTTGCCATCGGAAATCATGACAAATGGAAACAACATCCATGGGAATGTAGGACAATGGCCGCTCATTATATCACCCCCAGACCGGCCCGGTGCGTAGATTTCGCCCTCATTGGCATTGTCTTCCAAACTTATTTCAATCGCGTCTGGTCGTCCACCTTATCAGTAACTAGTGCATCGCCTTACAATAACGGACTGAATGAGTCATTACCCGAAGAACTGATAGTTTCCTGTTCGGTACCGGCTAGAAAACACTTGAGTCTTTTCAATTAATCGCCTTTTGGACACAATGATTGCCGCTAACCCCACGGAGATGCCGCCAGGAGATTCGCCTGAGTTGGTTCTGGTCCCTGCCACACCAGAGGAACGGATCAAGTCCATCAGGCTCAACAGTGCAGCGTGGAAGGGCCGTTTAGACGTCGAGACGTACATCGCAAGAGAGAACCATTTGTATCAGCAGCGATTGGTTAAGGATGGCTTGACCTGTTGGCTTTTGGTTGACCGTAGGGAGCCAGAAGGCCAACGGACGATCTTGAGTTCTTGTGAGACATACAAGAAGAAGGCTTTGCTGGCTCACCACGGCAAGGTGGAAGATGTTGCTACCCATGGAGTCGGGAGCGTCTATTGTCGACCTGAACACAGAGGCAAAGGTTACGCCAAGAGAATGATGCAGGAATTGTGCACGAAGCTGGAGACGTGGCAAATGGAAAACGAGCCCAGAAGTAGATCACTCTTCAGCGTGCTGTTTTCGGATATCGGAAAGAACTTTTATGCGCAATTTGGGTGGAAGCCGTTTCCTTCTTCGCACATCTCTCTTCCACCTATCTCCAGGGAAGAATATGACCTGTCCTCACGGGCAAATCTACCAAAGGCGAGAACCTTGGTTGCCGATGACGTTCGCAAATGCATGTGTAGCGATCGAGTCTTACAAAAAGAACGGGAATCCCTGCGTGCTGCCTCCGAGAAGACCCCAATCGCCCACGTAGCAATCCTTCCGGACTTTGACCATTTCGTTTGGCACTGGGCGAGGGAAGAGTTCTATGCAGAGAAGCTTCATGACGACCGAGCCCCGCCGCTAATCAAGGGCGCTGGTGAGGACAAGGCAAAAGTGTACTGTGCCTGGAACAGGAACTTTGGCGAGACACCCCAGGACAACACTTTGTTCATTTTGCGATGGGTGTATGATGAACCGACCACGCCGGAAGAGACTGAAGCGACAGCAAAGGCCATGGCTGCTATCCTGAGGAGGGCTCAACTCGAGGCTCACGAATGGGATATGGCAAAGGTCGATTTCTGGAATCCAACTCCGCTGTTGCAGAAGGCAGTTGCCATGCTAGATTCCCCAGCAGAGCTGATTCACCGAGAGAAAAGCAGCATCGCTAGCTTGAGGTGGACAGGCGCCGCACAAGACCTAGGTGAAGAGGTCGAATGGCTCTGGAACGAGAAATATGCATGGTGTTGAAAGATGTTGGCTTCTACCACGTTTCATGTTTTCGTTCCGGGTGGTCATCGTTTTCGTCGTGAAGAATCCGCTAGAGATAGAGCCTGATACAGCCTGACAGGTCCACGAGAGATGTCAATGGAACATAGATTTTGTCTTCAATTCTTCTGTCTCTTTTGGTTTCTGAACAGTTCATGCCAGTTTCGTGACTTTTTGGCTGCCGCAGCAGTATTGGCATCTGTCGAGATATTCTTCTTGATCTTATGTCTGTCGATGTTGTTGACGAAGTAGATTGTTGTTTGGTCTGGATGCCTGTAGGAGTTCTCCTGTAGGAAATCAGTACTCTGTAATCAGGTTCAAAACAAAGACAATTGGCTGACTATAACCGGACACATACCGTCAGTTTAGGCAATGCCACTTCATCCCGCCATGAATCAGGAAGATGATCCTTCCAAGCATTGAGGAACTCGCTTCGCCCAATTGCCGATCCCTGAGCAGGCGCCATAGCCTCCAGATACGTCTCGCCGACCCATCGTGTGCACCTGGCCTTGTCGATGCTAGCCCCTGCGCGAGTATCGCCGTCAGACATTGACCGTTTTCCAAGCTTTCACGGCTGTAACTCACACTTCATGTCCCCGTCAACAAGCCCTTGAGCCTGACCATCTGCTTCACAAACTCTCTTGACAACAGCCTCGAACAGCGCCCGCGGAAACGGCTCCTCATCACCATCATCCAGCACCGACTTCCACAGATCCGACACAAGAAACTGCTGGTCAAGATGAATACCCTGCAGCACCGCGCCCTCGAGAACCCTCTTCCACACCTCCAGCTTCGCTCTGGCAGAAGGCCGCCGACAGCACCGCGCAGCATCCTCACCCTTATGCGCCCGACCAAGCACAAAGGCACAGATCTCAATCCAACCGGCTTCACACTGCGCCCGTGAAACAGGGACATCCTCAAAAATCCGACGTATGACACCGTCCTTCTCACTCGGCTCTAGATCGAAGCCCACAGCTTCACTCCCTTCATCCCCGTCGTACACCGCCAGAATTCTCCCGAGGAACGAAACCGCCGAGAACCCTTCCGCCGGAGTATGCAATTCCAGCGTGGACCCGCACTTTGCGATTGTCGTGACCGTCTCCACGAGGTTCATCTCGTCGTCCGCGCCGACCATGGTGATGTCGCCTCGTTGGGCGCCGCCGTCGCTAGGCTGGAGGATATGGATCGGGTTCGAGGATTGGACTAGACGGATACGGTAGGTTCGGTTTGGAGTGCATAGATTGACATAGTCGTGATGCTCGGAATCTGTGCTTGAGTTCGGAAGGTGTGATGCTGAGGGGGATTTGAGCTCGAGGCTGGTGACGCGTTAGGGATTTCCTGGTACGAATGAAGTAATGGGGGGTTTAAATACGTTGGTGCTTCTTTCGAAGAGAGGAGCTCCGCTAGTTCTGAGGATAGCTCGAGTAATCTGAACCCTTGCTGAGGGGATGTGTGTGTGAAGAGGATGCTTCGGGCGGCTTGGGTAGACATGGTGGGTTGGTGTTTTATTGCCGCTGGCGCTTCGAAGCTCTCTGCCTGTCGCTTCGGATAAGGTAGTTACTTGTCGGTTAGATACACTTGAAGAGCGTCCGTATTGGGCGGTTCTCGTAGGTGTGACTATCGAGGTACGCTGTACAGCAGGGTTCAAAAAGTTCCTGAACGCGGTACGCGCCATGTCCGCGATAATGATGGGCGCACAGACCATTGCTTAATGAGGGACCCAGATCTACTTCGATTCCAGAACATCTTTGGGATGGGAATATGAAGTCCTGTATTGCTCCCCGGATTTTCCTATGTGGTAGCTAGTGATTTATGTTCAATAGATGTGAATTCTCTTCACTGATTGTTCTTGTATTCGAAAGCAACCAGCATACCAATTGAAATCACTTGAGCTCGCGAAACTTGGACTATATGATGGAGTAAGACATGGCTGAATGAAGCAAAAAGAAAACTGTCTATGTAGATTTACAAAAGCGCCGGGCCGTAGAAACAGCCCAGCCGGAGCAGGAAGAAAACCACACTGTAACCAGTACAGCGATTGATGCATCCAAAACGAGTATAGGGAAGGAGGAAGCATGATGTTAGTATCCAGGAAGTATGCGTCTAGTGAAGATGACGATAACGATCCGCGAGAAGCTGTGCCGGAAGATGGTCATGGAGAGAAAGGGTTTGGCGAGAGAACAGCTCGACTGGCTCCAGGATGCGCAAGATCAATACAGATCAAATCGAGGTCGGAAGCCTTTACACGCTCCGCTCTGCCTCCCCGGGGCTTCCTTGCGCGACTGGCGCGGCATTGACACTCGGCTTTGGTGAAGCAGCGACAGGGTGACTTGCAGAACCCTGCACGTCTTTAACCTCTGCTGCCCCTGTCACTCCGTCGGCCTTGGTCTGGCCTGCCTCCTCTTTCTCAGTTTGGATTGAATCCTGCACGAAGGCTTTGTCGATATCCCATTGCGGCCCGGGATCCACGAAGAGGGCCTTCATGCGCTCAGCTCGTTCGGCTTGCTCCTTCTCTTCTCTCTCCCTAGCCTTCCGCTCCTGCTCCATTTCTTCCATGTGTCGAAGGTCGTCTACGCTAGGTTCGTAAAGGTGCCAGATCGTGTAGTGAGGAAGACCGATGACCGAGAATCCCATGCGCTTAGCCATCTGGTGAAATTTAGCATTTTGCGCACTGCACAAAGAACCAAGACGACACTTACTTTCCCAAACGCTTCAGTTTCAGCGTGCTTCTCGAAACTGAAAGCGGGAAAATGAACTCCAGAGCGAAATACCTTTGCCTTGGCTAGGATACTGACACCTCCGACACCATCCAGCTCCATCTCCATGTCAGGATCTCCAAATGGATCGCGAAGGTAGGCGAGGTGAGGCCGCCAGGTAGCATACTCGGCATATCCCTCTACAATCACCGCATCCTCGTCCAATGTTTCAGCCAGAGCCAAAGCCGTCTCCGACTCCTGCCATGAGTTCAAGTCATAGGGCTGTTCCCCACCAAGCCAGTCAGGGAGTGGTCGCCAGACATCTATTGCCAGGCCTATTAGATCGGAAATCGCAAGAATCCAGACGGTACAACTTACTCGGTACAATGACATCTTTGTCATGCCGCATCAAGTCCTCCAGGATAGTGCGAGGAGCAGTCTCAACATCGGCGTCTCTCCAGTAAACCCAGCTGTGCGTCGGACGTAGAGTAGCACTCAGCAGCCAATTCCTCGCCTGGGCCATCAGTTTTCTCCTTCCCGCCTGTGCAGCAAATCCATGTCTACTTTCCACATCCTGCTGCACCTTCTGCCCAAAATCCTTTTGTATGACCGAAATTTCTCCGAACGTCATCTTGGGATCAGGATCGTTTTGGACCTCCTCAAGCATACGCGTCAGCATTCCCAACGTATCATCCTTCGAGTCCGACACCAGAAACGCTAGATCGATGAGGTTGTGAGGGTAGGTGAGATTTCGGAGGTGTGAGAAGAACATCGGCAGATGCGACGAGGCGTCTCGGAGAGGTGTCAACATAAGTACACGCTCCCCTTTCTCCCATCCTTGCGCCGTGCCTTGTACTTTGGACAGGTCATAATATCGGACGGTCTGTAGCTGTAGATCTTCGCTGGAATGCATAAGTCCAAGGGACAACGTGGGAAGAATCGCGGCGCGCCAGGAAGGAAAGATGAGGACGAGTATTAGCAGAGAGATGCCACCGATGAGACATAGCCGCTGGATGAGCAGTCTTCGACGTCTTAGGGCAGATTGCGGACGTGGTTGAAAACTAACAGTGCAGACAAGAAATCAGCTTGAATTCAAAACGCTAGTGGTGTCTGCTACTCTGATAGATCCGCAGAAACGCAATCCCGCGCAGATGACGAAACCAAAAGCAACTTACCGATGAGGAGAGATGGAAAATGCTCTGCTCTGCCCGCGGGGGTAGGCAGAGTAGCCATTGGCAAAGGCGTGATGCCTGTTCATTTCTCGGGGTATCACAGCATGTGTAGGCGCAGATCAAATATCCAGAAGTCACAGGAACCAGAAGGCTCCTCGATCCTGGAGATGCAGACAAACGGACACCAGAACGGCACTGGCTCAAATCCCGCCTCGATTACGTGTCAAGGCGGAGAGACGAAAGTAGTTGCAATTTGGCTGCGAAGGGGTGGAATCGCGGATGCGTACGATGGGTATGTAGATCTTCAGAGTCCCAGAGAGGCCAGCTTCAATATAAGAACGGTTAACTAAAACACAAAATCAATGTAGTATCCTCAAATTAATTAATCAATCCAACAAAGGAGATTAATTAGGTGCATGAGCGTGCTAGACAAGCGTGAAACTAAGGTACTGTAGGAAAGCTGGCTGGATCAAGAACCAAACCACTGGCCAAGTATTCCTGTCCAGCCAAATTGTTTCGCCGCTTTGATTATTCGATGTCATCCGGCCACTGTTACTCCATCCGGACACATAAGGTATAACCGTCAAGACGTTTGCGGCCGTGCAACATACTTATCTTCCGCAACGAAGTCAGCAAGATAGAACACCATTGGTGATTGCTTATCGTCAAGTTCCAGGTTTCAATTATTTTACAGTTATAATGTACATAACGCAAACCATTGACAAAGATACCTATCCTGTCCCAAGGGCAAACTCCCGAAGAATGCTTCATGCCAAACCAAATGCTAGTGATCGCCATGTGTTGCAGCAGAGAAAAGAAGGACGAATGAGAAAAAAGGAATCAACTCCGAGAATATAAATTGAAGAACTTTTCTTTCAATTGCCGTGTACCCGCGAGATCCTCGAGTCTGGTGAGCCCATTCCCTTGACACCAATCTCGACCTGCCGCAGCATTTTCTTTAGCAGTGAATCCATCAGGGACGGGTCTCGCAATGCCAAAATGACGGATCCGGCCTCGTAGTCGCTGTCCAAGATATAATAGCGCTCCCTGCCCCAGAGCTCCACTGTTTCTCTCTGGAATGCGACTTTCGCAATGACCTTGGCTGGAACACTGGCCTTGTTGATAGCGCTCTTGGAGAACACTCTCAGGAATGGCCCGAGGCTAGACCGAGTTGAATGTGCCATTCGGACCGATAAGGGGGCATCCGTCGTCAGATGTCTCTTCCCTTCCAATCCTCCGGGGTCCAGAGTGTATATGTTGAGTGACATGTTGCCAGTCTACGTATTGCATTGTCAGTATTGTTCGGCTACTCACACGCGCAAAGCTACCGATAAACTTACCAGGACCAGACTCCGCCGTAACGCATACATGGCGGCACTCATGATCAGCTTACTGCTCCCAAACCGCGCATTCCCTTCCTTTGCACTCAATGGAGTGCCGGGCGGTTTCGGCGCATTGTCTGGGCTGTCGTCGAAATAGTTCAACGAGCCACAGGATATGGCAGAGCATCCAATATTGATGACTCTGGCACCGCCGTCCGGCGTGCCATTGCCGGCTCGGAAAGCTTCAAGTAGGCTGACCGTCAACAGGAACGGTGCAATGCAATTAACCTGGTAGACCGGATCATATCCATCCGGTGTGACTGGATCGGTGACATAAGATGCCATGACAGCAGAATTGATCAGGAGCATTACCGGCGGGATCTCTTTCGTTCGGACCCTTTCCACAGTATTCTGACAGAAGCTGACGACCGAGTTGAAACTGGCCAGGTTGACTTTGGCCACTTCGACAGATCTAGGCCCGATGAGGCGGATTTTCTGTAGCAGGTCCTTCACGCTGTCGGTTCTGATATCGCGCGCAAGAAGCAGCAAGTGCACGAAAGGCTGCGTTTTTGCGATAGCGATAGCTATCTCTGAGCCGAGGGTCCCGTTGCCCCCGGTAATGATTGCAGTTCCTTGGAGTGGTTTCGACATGATGGAAATGTGAGATTGGGTATATAGCCGGTTCAACGCACAGGGCGTAGTTAGGATGTAGATAGTTGTGTATAGATCATCAAATCAACATGACATAAGGTAGTTTGCGTCTGAAACAGAAGTATGGCGATGCAACCACAGGGGGCTATAACGATAGAACTTGCGTCCTGTTTCAGAGTTATATATATCAGACGATCCTCAGATGAAAAGAGTTTCATAAACTTTGCTAAAATGGGGCCGATTTTTTTTGGGGGGGGGGGGGGAGGGGGATGTCTAACAAGAGATTAAAACTGCAGTCGGACCAGACCAACGAATGTACAACTGTATGAGAACGATTGAAAGCGAGGGGCAAAAGGAAAAGGAAAGGAAAGGAAAGGAAAGGAAAAAACAAAGGTGAGATTGATGCGATAACTGTAAATAGGGACAGCAACGATTTGAACAGAACCCAGATGCTGCGAGCTGAATCGGAACTTGCTCCACTGGGCTATAGACTAGTCAAAATGAGCCAGCGGACTGAGTGGGGTGAGAGCCACTTGGCGAAGCATAACAATGTCTAGATGATGGGGGTCTGAGTCTTTTGGCAGCGAGAACTGGTGGTAGATTTGACTTCAAAGTCCGAGTTTTGGCCTCCATCATTGCGGAAGAGAGTGGGGGGATAAAAGTATCTATAGAACTGTGCTAAATGGTCGTATCAGAATACAAATAGCAGGATTCTGTCTGTTTCTGGGAAGCGGAGGGTTTCTTCTCCATAGCCCAACACTCGTCCATTCATCAGTTGCAGTGGAGGTGAGACATAATCTACGGAGTAATACAAGCAGTATAATATCCAATGATGATGATCTATAGAGACAGGAGCTGTCAGACAGAATGACAAACCCAACTATACTGAGCACTGTCCAACTGTCCGACTCATGCACCAGATGATACTTCCACAGTCCCACCTCTTAAACTGCAACTGTCCTACTAACAAGTAGTGAAAACTGCCGATGAACAACACATGAGACAAAACAGAACCTTTTTTCGACCAAGTCACCAATTGACTAGTCCAAAAATTAGCACATTGTCATTGACGGTGGCGGTCTTGGCTGTTCATCAAATGGCGCGGTCGAACGCCTGTTCGTATGCAGCCAACCAAATACGCACATTACCACATTGGGTTATTACCGATTTGTCTGGGATGGATTAACGGTCTAAGCTAATGATTCTAGCTGGATGCGAAGAGCTAGAACTGTAGAACACTACAACTACATTGGTGAGTAGCGAATTCTCACTTCTAGATACTGTGTCGACTTATGGGATATTCCATCGAAGGTTGGACTACAAACTGCAGGATCACGATAAATCGAAGATTCAGATAACCTATGAAGAATAAATTAAGGCATTGTGTAGGCATTGTTTACTCGCTTCGGAATACCCAAATCGTCGGGAAGATGCATGCTGACTACCGGACTGGTCTGATTGCAAACAGCACAGAATCGTATCCAACACGTGTCTATACCAATATTCGGAACCTGAGCTACATCCTTTGCGCTTGCCAGTCAGCCTGACGTTGCCTGACGTTCTATCGGGCTTTACCGAAAGCTAGGGGCCAAAATGGCGCTGCGCCCTTAAATCCATGCATAGCCATGTGGAAGATAATTGCTTTTTCTGCAGTATGGGCTCATTCGTACGAGCTTCTGGCGTCTAGACTATTGATTGTTTGCTGTTTGATGGCTTTGTCATGTAGACACCTCAACTAGGATCTTGACATGCTTGTCCCGCTCGTCAATCAAAGCCTTGAATCCCTTGGCCACCACGTCCTCCATCAGGATCTTGCTCGTGATCATCGCTCGAGGGGAGAGCTTTCCTATATGCTCGTCAGCATAACCAGTAACAATCGGGCCCCATACGACAGAAGAAACGTGCCTGATGAAATCGCATCAATGACAGCTTCAAAATCACCATCGTCACAAATCACAGCGCCAATGACATGTTTCTCGCGTAAAACCATATCGAGCGCATCGATCTTCGGCTTCTCCTCCCACAGCGATACTATGGTCACCGTTCCCCTGGCTCGAATAGCCTGCACAGCCGTGTCCAAGCCCACTTGCACGCCGGAGCATTCAAATGCGATGGCTGCTCCCACTCCTGCCGTCATTGCGCGAACTGAAGCCACAATATCATCCGTCCGCGGATCAAAGACCTCAGTCGCACCTAGTTGTCTCGCAAACTGCTTACGCTGTGAGGATACTTCGGAGACTATGATGGACTTGACTCCGCGGGCTTTCAGGACCTGAACGACAGCGAGACCGATGGGTCCTCCCCCTACCACGAGGACAGTGTCGTCGGGCCGGACGGAGGCACGGCTAGCTGCATGCCAGGCCACAGTAAGGGGTTCGACGAGGGCTGCATATGCACCGCAAGGTTAATGAATCACCCGATCTTATATCATCGGTAGAAAGCCATAAACTCACCCCCAAGATCAAGTGGGAAACCCTCCGGTAACAGAATCGCATGCTTCTCACCTACAACAACATGATCTGACAAACCTCCTGCATCGCCTGCTCAAATATCAGCGCCACACCTCCACTCATTCGCCCAGAAACTCACTCACTGCTATACCCAATAAATCCCAAATTCTGACAACAGTTCCGCCAACCGGCTAGACAACTCGCACACGTCCCATCATACAGATTCGGTCTGACAGCCACGCAATCACCGACTTTCAGTCGTGAAACGCCCGCGCCGACCTCCTCTACCACACCACTGAACTCATGACCCAGGGTGACGGGGACGCTCCCGCCCGTGATTGGATGCGGTGTTGAGGGAACTGTGATGGGACCTGCGAGGTACTCGTGTAGGTCTATATGCCATGTAAGCAAGCGCCGTCAGATTGATCAAGACCACCAAAGAACGAAGACGAGCATACCACTTCCACAGATCCCTACAAATGCAGGTCGGATCTGTCCATGTTAGTTTACTTGCTCAAGAAAGCAGAATACCAAATGCCGGTAACCTTGACCTGCCCCTCCCCGCAGACGGGCTCATCAATCTCGTCAACACGGACATCGCCGCGGCCATGGAATCGGACAGCTCTCATTGTGAAGTGTAGATATCGAGGTTCTAGCGTAGGCGAGTTGATGTTGTATCAGTTACTGTCGGGACTGGTTCATCGGGGTCCCCGATGGCCCCGTAATATACGGCAGAATGAGTTGCGGAACTAAGCCGTGCGAAGAACTGATGATTATTTATTCCCTAGACATGAGACAAGACTCTAGAAACGGTCTTTGCAGATAGTGAGGGGTCGGGTAAGCTCCGAAGAGGGGTCTGCGGGGTGACTGATGCCTTATTGCCTTGGATGCTCGCGAATCGAGATTGCAGATACAAATGGAGTCGGCAAGGAAAGGAAAAGGGAAAAATGAAAACTGAAACATTCATTTCTCGTTGGACATGTTGTTGATGCTAAGAGGGTAAATGCTATTTATGTTGCTGCCTCTGCACGAAATCGCAGACCACTCCTTGTAACCATCTCCCATGATTGAACGACAAAAGGAAGAATGGACTTTTCCCCCCGATAAATTCTCTACCGAACAGTAGCTCCCTTCAGAGACTTTACTGTACAGACACCTCCGGTTTTAGCAACCAATTTGCCCAGGGCCGGCTTGCCCTCCTGGCCCTGCACGGCGGGAACAGCGCTCATGTCGAACGCAACTTCCAGGCTGTCCGTGGTGGTGAACCCAGGCTGGAAGGTCTCCCAGACCTTCTTCTTGGGGTTGAGCACCTTCTCGGGCTCGCCGTCAAACCAACCCTCGAAGCCAATGCGGGTACCGGCAGGTGCGTCGGCGGGAGGGGTGACCAGCTCAACGGGTCCAGCGTGCGAGTCCTCGCCTTCGGCAACGCGAGGCGATGCTGCCAGAACCATGGCTGTAGACTTGATACCACGCATAGTTACAGGCTTCAAGTTGCAGACGGCAACAATCTTTCTGTTCTGCATCTCCTCCAGGGGAACAAGGCCGTTCAGACCCGAGCATACGGTACGCACGGTCTTTCCGGTCTCCTCATCTACCGAAGTGTTCTCGGTACCGGGAGCATCACCACAGTCGATGGTAGAAACGTAGAGGGAGTCCGCATTGGGGTGGTTGATGGCACGGAGGATGTGACCAACGCGGAGGTCGATGAGCGACGGAGAAGGGGGAGCAGCGGGCGCGGGAGCAGGCTTGGGCGCCTTCTCCTTCTTTTCCTTCTTCTCCTTCTTCTCCTTCTTATTAACCTTGGGCGGCGCGCCAGCGGCGGAGTCAGCGGCCTGATCGGCCGCGCCGCCAGTCGCCGCCTTCTCGGGCTTGCCCTGTCCAACGACCAGAGGTTTGCCAGCATCCGGGTTCTGGGCCGCAGCCTTCTCCCTCTTTTTGCGCTCCTTCTCTTCCTTCGGGTCCACGGGCTTGGGAACGAATCGCACGTCGTTCACGTCGATGCTGATCTTCTCCTCGTCGGGGATCTGGAGAGCGAACAGGCGGCTATTTTGCACAAAGTCGATGTGTCGCACAATGTGATGGTACCCCTGCTCACCAGTGCGTTCTTCAGGGGTCCATTTCTCAACGAGGGGAGCGAGCAGAGCGTATGCGGCGATATCAGCAACGGACGGCTTGGTTCCCAGCAAAGTTGTGCGCGCGGCCAGGTGACTGTTCAGCTGTCCGAGGATGGCCGTAACCACGGACTTGTCGTCTTTGGTCAAGGCATTCTGGAGACCAGAAATGGTGTCTAGCCATTGCTTGATCGAAGCCTGCTCCTCAACGGAGAAAGTCGTCTGAGGAAAGATTTTGGGGGAGGCATGGAGAAGATCAAGCTCTGTGGCGTCGGGAGAAACTGCAGCGGGGTACGAGCGGTAGAGAAGGGAGAGGAGAGAAGACTCGGGAGCAGAGTTGATAGCCATGTTTGCGAATGGGCGACGAACGGCGAAGGAGGACAGAGGCGAGGTGGTGAAGTTAAGAAGAGGGGCAGCAGAAGTCGGCCTCAGGCGTAGGAATAATAATCTGGAGGGTTGACTGATCCGCGGGGCTGTTGTTCTGGCGGCCCCCGTCAGAGTCACAGAAACCTTGAGGAAATTCAACTTGACTAAGACCCAGATCCCTAGAGTGATGGGATCCTTGTATAATTGACTTGATAAAAGAGATGATTACAATTGGATTTGGCTAGATACCATCAGACTTCGTCTTGCTACAGCATTTCTCGGCTTCCGCGGTGTCAATGACCGACTGCATCCGGTTAGTCTCTTTTTACCTTTACTTTTTCTTTTCCCATAGTTAACTAACTAGTTAACGTAATCCACAACCGAGCGGGCCACACAACCGAGCGGGCCACCTTACATGCTTTTTTTGGCCGGAGTAGAAATCAAAGGCTATTTTCAACCCCTAAAATAACTTTGCATTACTAAAACTAGCTATTCTTGCGCTGCGGACATTGCAATCGCCTATGGCCTAGAATATGGCAGTCACTGCAGCGGGGGGGTGCCCGTTGAGGGCGTTGTTCTGTATCTACTACCTGCTCTGGAGGGATAGTTGGAATAGCTTCAGCAGCCTGATTCCGCTGTTGAATGAACTCCTGGCCTTCCTGGATAGAGAATCCCTCTGCAGCTTCTATCTGCCTCCTAGATCGCTTCCTATTTTGAAGCTGCTTCTCATGTGCAGCACGTAGATCCTGATTTTCCTTTGCAAGAAGGACAGCATTATTCATTGCCATCTCACACCCCTTGATAATCTGATCTAGCACAGCCTTAGTAGGGGTAGGAGGGCTGTATGTACGCTCCCTAAGTAGCTTCTTAAGCGTACTTTCCTGCTTTTTCAACTGCTCAAGATTGTAAGGCGTTTTTGGGATAGAATCTGTTGATCGGCTGCCTGGTGGTGTAGGGGTTTTAAGTTGAATATTAAGCTGACTGAGCACCCGATCTGGATTTAGTGGTATTAATCCAGTTGCTGAAAAACCACTTCTAATATTGTCTGCTGAAAAGATTGCCGTACGAGCTTGTGGATAGGCCTCGAGGAAGTCAAACTTATCAATATGGTTGAAACCAAGTCGCATCTTATCCTCAATCAGGCGGCCATATGCACGTTTTAGCGGAGAGAAACAGCCAACATCCAGAGGTTGAAGGAGATGTGATGAATGCGCAGGCATGCAGATTGGAATAATATCATTCTCACTGCAGATCTGATCAAATTGAGGTGTTAGATGGCTTCCATGGCCATCAAGAATCAAGAGTCGGTATCTTCCAGTCGTACGACTAGTAGTAGCAGGAATAAAGACTTTCTGAAGCCACCGTAATCCAATCTGATCAGTCGTCCATCCATTCTCACTGACCTCGATCCGCCAGTCTGCTGGTAAGGCTGGATCTTGATACCATCCCTCAATATGGACCTTTCCTTTGAAGATAATGCATGGTGGAAGTACCCATCCAGTAGAGTTAATACACTCTATAGATGTAACCCATTCGCGGTTCCCTGGCTGGATAAGGAAGGGCCGACCAAGCATCTCAGCTCTTGTAACTACCTTAGCAGTAGCTACTAAGCCCATTGCAAAGCCAGTTTCATCAAAGTTGTAGATATCTTCTAGCGCAATCCCATGCTGCATCATTGTGATCTGGACACGATTGAACCATTCTTGGATGATCTTTGGGTCTTCACATTTGGCACGCTGGTGATTATAGCGCCTAGAGAATCGGGTTTTGATCTCATCATGCCGTTTAATGAAGTTATATACCCAATTCTCTCCAACAGTTTGGATAGTAGGTAAACCACGCTTTGCAAGGAGGATATTTGCCATTTCTCGCACATGAGACGGTCGGGGAGCCGCTCCACGTTGATCCATAGATAAAATCCATCTAATAAGCGATTCCTCTTCATTCTGAGTCATTTTATGCCCATTGGCGCGTGTCTCAGCCCGAAAACCATGCCCATTCCATCGCCGCTGGAGAGTTGTACGGGGTACATTAAAAACACGTGCTGCTTCACGAACAGTGCGAATTTCTTGCTTTTTAAGGGCTGATATAGCAAGAATTATCCGTCCTTCTTGCTCAACTGAATTTTGTAACTTTGTAGATGATTTTGGTGGCATGATTGATGTTTGAACTGCCTTACTCTCTTGAGAGTACGTAGAAACGCGTGAGGTGGCCCGCTCGGTTGTGTGGCCCGCTCGGTTGTGGATTACGTTAGTTAAGCTAGGGCTGGATGACTCAGTGCCAGCTGAGTCATCTGAGCATATTGTAATTATGCACACTGTGTGCAATAATCTGCTCTTCGACAGACGGCAGATTCCAGTTCGCAATATCGGAAACCAAGTCACGGTGTATTATTTAAATCTATGGAGACAGTGTATCTGTAATGATGTACAGGACGAATTTGGAGTTCAGCTTCTAAAAGGACGTTACATTTTTGGCAACAAGCAGTCAGACTACTTGGGCGAGGCAAGTCCAATAGATGGGCCTCGCAGGTCAAAGACAACGAAAAAGGCCTTGAGGAAGACATCACCAAGGATCTGCATCGAAGTGCCCTGGTTGGACTGGATACCACCAAAACATACTACAAGATGATATGTCAGTACATGAACTTTCGTACGCGAAGATCATCGTCTTACCAGTTTGTCCCGTCGTTTTGTTAATTCCAACCTCTGCAAAATCCAGGAATGTGCCAGGTACCGTCGCCAAGTGCTTTGCGCCGACAGCAACCGCGAGATTAGGCAGTTCAGTACCACAGGGATAGATGTAACCGCCGGCGCTGCTGGCATACTGCGCGCCTTTGACCTGCGCGTAGTAGGCATTTACCACTGTGTCATCGAGAAGCATCAATGAAGTGCCGGTATCAGCGATGGCAATAGCATTATTCTGGATGGTCTGGATAGAACCATCTCCGACCTTGTAATGGGCCGACTGGAACTGCCAGAAACCGCCCGAGGAGTCCACGGTCACGTTGATCATGTCGCCTTGGTACTTGGTTTGATCAATGATTCCGAACTCGTACTCGCCGACACCATCGCTCTTCAAATGCGCCGTCATGACTGGCTCGTCCAGACTGTCGGCGATATTGTCGAAGAACGTCTTCTGCTGCTGGGGCTGAACTGTATTGAGGGACGAAAAGCCCAGGCCAACGAGACCGTTCGAGTACGTATCTTCCACAAAGGAATCGGACACGCTCGTCGGGATACCGATCGCTTGACCGGTAACGGTTGCGCCACCAATATCAACGGTATCAGTTCCGACGCCACCATTAGCGAAAGACGAATCGCCGTATTTGATCTCAAAAGTAGCTCCTTCCATCTTCTTAAAAGTGGACGACTTGGAAGGATCGAAGACAGTGTGGCCGACCTGGGCACTCGCCGGAAGCTCCGTGTTCATCACCCAGCTGGTGAAATCCCAGTCAGTAAGCTCTGTTGGTAAAGTAATTCAATTGAACTTACAAGTCTGCTGAGCCGGTGTCAAAGTTCATCACTATTTTCTGCCCACCGATCGTCACAGGGCTGACGAAAGCAGCATCGTTCTGGACAGATTGCGCACTAACTGCACCAGTCTGCTCTGGCTCCTGGGCATCGGTTACGAGTAGATTGGCAGCGGTGCTTGAGATAGATGTCGTGTTGAAAGGCTCAAAGTCCGACAGATCGACGCCAAAGGTCATAGGAACTATGCCAAACTTCCGATAGGCTCTGCGTAGAGCAGTCGGGCCGTGAATGGAGTTTCCACGCTTGATCCGCTCAACCTTGAAGGACCTGCCCTGAGATTGAGCTCGTGGCGACGTTGGTGCAGCGAACACGCCGTAGCCAAGGAGCAGCAGGAAGAGAAAAGACTGTAGTGAATGCATATTGGCCCGATACTGCCTCTATTTCCAGTCTTCAAATCAATGATCGTATTTGCTGCTTCTAGCAGCTGAAGGTGGAAAGCCTCCAAACAAGACAGAGATCAAGCCGGAAGTAAATTAAAGAGCGTGTACTCCGTATGCCCAAGTCCAGACCTGGGCACCTGCGAATATTGTTAAAGACAAATAGGATATAGAAAAGGTACAAAAATGAAGGGAAAGAGAAACAGCCAAAAGAGCTGTCAGGCAGAAGAGAAAGACAGAGAAGTGAATGACTTGTCTAGTTCATTGTCAAGAGGGCCCCAGGGCAGAACCCATCATAATAAAGACCTCAGCGGCCCTAATCACGAAAGGAACATTAAAAGTTGAACTGAGCTCCAGACCTCAGCTAAGAACTGCCGAGAGCGCGGATAGCTCCCATGTTGGTAAGTCGGCCCACTCAGACGAAGAAAACTGAGTTGAACGGAGAAAGCAGCCAATCCATGCTGTTCATATGGAGTCAGTTTTGATGCAACCTCATCTGCCTGACACAGTCAACACGACTCGACAGGCTGGATTTGACAGTTGCTGGCGCAAATCATGAGCCATTCAGAGTTGCCGAAACAGACTTCCCCTGAAGGTGAAACGCCTAGGCGCTGGGCAGTCGCAGGTTGTGCTGACCAGTCAAACCAGTCACCCACTATCGCCAAGAGATGGTGAAACGGTAGACTGAGTCGCAGTAAGCAGTCAAAATACGTATGTACTGCTAGGTTTTTTCCTTGTAAGGGCTGGTGAAGAACTGAAGGTTGATGAATAATCATCAGAAAAAGAATGTTTTCCAATCATCCATTCGCGGGACAGTCGACTGTCAAGCGCAATCGGCTCGGGAACTGTTACGTAGATAAGCGCTGTCCCTTGGTCGGTTTCCAGTCATACGGCATTATCCATGAAAACGCACACTGCAGAGATGCCATACACCCGTCATAAACTCGAGTCCAACTGACGAATGTGCCTACAATCGATAGCGCCGCTATTCAGATATATATGGTGTGGATCCTAGATAGCAGGTGTAGAACGAGACGAGTATACACTACACGCTTTATACGAATGCTGATCTCCGGTGCTTTCTCGTTTGGTAAGAGCAATAAGGGTCCTGATCATGCGAATGCCTCATATTGAAATGGTGGTATCAAATCATGCTTTCCCAAAACGCCGTAGTAAAGAAACTCACAATGCACGCTATTCCAGCTCAAATGCACCGCACAGTAGAAGCAAAGCAGGCCGACCGAAATATGAATCACTCCACCATATCATTATCGTCAGGCGGGAGCACTTTATTTGGATCCTCGCCAAGCATTTCGCCAACCGACCGTACAACCTGCTTGATGGCCTTTGACGCTGGGCTGTCCGGGAAGTTGTCCACGAAGCTTTCGCCGTAGTCGCAAGCCATTCCAACTCTTGGGTCAAGAGGAACTGAACCCAGAAATGGAATGCCCATTTTTTTCGCCAGTCGTTTGCCACCTCCTGTCGTAGCACGGAAGATTTCCGATGTATTGGAGCATCCTGGGCAGACGAACCCCCGCATGTTCTCGACTAGGCCCAGGATACGAATGCCAGCCTTGCGGCAGAAATCAATCTCCTTCCGGACGTCGAGAAGCGATACTTCTTGAGGGGTCGTAACAACCACCGCTCCGTCCACGCCAGACTCTTTCAGAAGTGAGTTCACAGATAAGTGCTCGTCCGAAGTCCCAGGCGGCGTGTCAACAATCAGATAGTCCAACTCGCCCCAGTCCACATCCTTCAGGAACTGCTTAATCATTCCATTCTTCTTTGGGCCCCTCCAAATAATTGCGTCGTCTCGGTTCGGCAGCATGAATTGGATACTCATTGCACTCAAATTATCGGTCACCCATACGGGACTCCAGCCTGCGTTGCTAACGTGAATCGTTTCCGATTCAACACCCATCATCTTCGGGATCGAGGGCCCGCAAATGTCAGTATCACAGAGGCCGACGGTAGATTCAGGGTTTGATGCGAACGCATGCGCAAGGAGCGAGGAGAATGTGGATTTGCCGACACCACCTTTGCCGGATAGTACAAGGATCTTGTGTCGGATTTGAGAGAGACGTTCGGTGATGATGGGGATGTCGGGATCGGGCCCCTTCGGGGCAGAGGCACAAATGGCTTGATTGGGACAGCCAGCGCAGGCATCGCCTTTTCCTGCTTGCTCTGACTCGGGTCCAGGGCAGTGCTCTGCAAGGATTAGCGACCTTCAAAGGTAAAGGAAACATACTTTTTGCCGGTTAGGAAGACATACCTGGTTCCGGCGCAACGAGGTTCGGTGCCACCTTGGTTGGCACATCGAACGCTGCCACTGGCTCCATCACGGACGGCGCCATTATTATGCGGAGACCAGCTTTTTCTAAGGGATATGGCGATATATTCTCTTAGATTCCCAGGTCCGGTAGGTGTGTCGAATTGATTTGGACGAAAGGAAGCTTTTTTTGATGAAAAAGTGGCGGATCGCCTGCTTGATAATCCATTATCGGATGACAAACTCTTGGTGGCGATTGGCGCGGGGTGGTTTTCTCAGGAACCAGTCACTGCGGTGTCGGAGCGCCCCGCGATAAGATTGATTAATCATAGATCCTGCAGGATACTGAATATCTAGGGAGATGGTCTATCATGGTGATTATTTATTTTATTGGCATTACTATGCTGATGAACAACGAGTGGCTAATACTATAACTCTAAACACCAGGATCAAGATATATATGTCTCGCGATTGTCAGTTGAGTGCTCCCTAATGGGCTAGAGTCAGAAACTGATATATATTCCCCAATGTATGGTCGTATTCTGTATTGAGAGTGGTACTATCAATGTAACTTTCATAGAGTCCATTTGTTCGTGTCTACAGAGTGCAGCAGGATGCTTGCAAGTTTGGTCTGACTATCTTTTCAGAAGCGGGGTATGACAAGTAGTATAGATATCGATAATGCATTGTCAGAACCTTAGCATACCTCCCTGGCCGTGCTACCATATCATTATCCACCAACTGGAGAGTCAGAAGACTGATCCACTTCGATTACAGGCGCGATTTGCAAGAAACATCCTCAGCAAATATCCGCAGGTTGTCGTTGACTAGAGACACTGCAGATCTCTACAGGACCCAGTTCTCTTACGAAACTACAACTATCAGCATATCAGTGACTATTCCCTTCTTTCTGCAGGCCGCGTCTGTGTGTTGCATGATGCATATGCTTCCCTTTCAACGTTGAAAGAATCGCTGAAATTACTGATTGGCGTTAATCCAGACTACCCGAGTCTTACCTGCTTCAATTCCTGATTTTTGAGGATTGACAGGGGAAATGCTGTCCAGTGAAATGTAGTATTCGATGCACCCGCCGTCACCGCTCAATTGTCGTGGCTTCTCCATCAAGAGAAATAATATGCTTTCAATGAGCAGAGCAACCGAATGGTCGATGGAGTAAAGTAGTGAGGTAAGGAAATTGTCGTCGCTCAGACGGATCTGTATCCAAGGAATAACCCACGAGCCTGAAGATTGTTTTAGAGAATCTTGAACCGTATCCCATCTGATATCATTCGCTCGACTTTCCCTCGTCAACACCGATGCTACTAGGATGTACTAATATTACGAAATACCTCTATAAATTGTTCGAATTCCCTAAGAGCGTTGACCTTCTTTCTCTTTCTGCTTCATTCCTCATTCCCTTTAAGAGATTGTACCAACGTCTTGTGATTGGCGCTTTTCCTACTCAATGGGTCTGGGTCGCTAAGTAGCCCTTTTCCCCGGCGACAGCTCTACCTTACTTAGTCTCGTCCTTAGACGTAAGAGGTTACTCTCTCTCCCCACTATACCCCGTATGGATAGCGATAAATAGCAGGTAGCTCCGCCGCTCTGTCACTAACACAAGCCTTTTCTATCTCTTTTCTTGTTTATATTTTGCATATTCTCTCTTTCCTCCAGTGGTTCAGTGACCCATTGAGCATTGTTGTTGAGGTGCGAAATCTATCCAATTTGGAGACACTAACAAAACCGTCACATGGGTTGTGGCCGACACTACCCACCCTTGCTTTCGTGTCACATGCTTCTTCTGCACCTTTGAATTTCCGATCCATCTGTCCACAATAACAATTTTCCGCTCCCGCTTCCCACGCAGGAATCAGAGAGCTACACGCAATTATGGATCGTGGCCTTTCAACAGGCGCTCATCAGGGAGATGATGGACTTCGCGAGAGGACTGTGGCCTCTCAGTCCAGCTCGGCCCCCGGTCTCGAGGCTTTAACAGCCACGGGTGAAGGTGAGGTCAAGGACAAAGCCGGTAAAGGAAAGAAGACATACGGCCGGACTCCTGGCGGTAAAGGTACGTGAGATAGTCTCCCCCCGAAAATTAAGAGTAGATGACACGTCTTTTCGGCTCTCAAAAGACTCTCGGGTTGCTACGGGTTGCTCTCCGCTGATTTACCTTCAATAGTGTTTACGGTGCCTCAAACGCACGACATGGTCTCTCAACTACTATCACCCTCGGAACCAAAGAACCTGTCAGACATTATCGTTCTAGTCATTCTCGCTGCTCATATTCTTCTCTTATGGCGACTTCCCGCGGGTGCCAAAGTGCCCGTTTTTGCCTTCATCTACCTCTTTTGGCGCGGTGCCTACAATGCTGGGATCGGATGGCTGCTTCATAACCAGTCGAACCACAGAACGCTCGTCCGTTGGGCGGAGAAGACCAAGATCTTCGTGAATCCGGCCACTGGCCAAAATTCTCATGCTAACCTATACAAGTTGATTAAACGTGAATTGAAGACCAAGATCCCAGCTGACTACTCGTTCGAAGATGCTCCAATTGAGTACAACACCTGGCTCGTCTTCAGACGACTTGTCGATCTGATCTTGATGTGCGACTTCACCTCATATTGCCTCTTTGCGATAGCCTGTAGCCAACGTCCCCTTGATGAGGGTACTCTGATGACTGCCTTGCGGTGGTCCGCAGGCATCATCTTAGTGCTCTTCAACCTTTGGGTAAAATTAGACGCGCATCGAGTGGTAAAAGACTACGCCTGGTACTGGGGAGACTTTTTCTTTCTTATCGACCAGGAGTTGACCTTTGACGGTGTCTTCGAAATGGCGCCTCATCCGATGTACTCGGTCGGTTATGCTGGCTACTACGGTATCTCGCTAATGGCGGCGAGCTACAAGGTCCTGTTCATCTCTATTCTCGCCCATGCAGCACAATTCGCTTTCCTGGTCTTCGTCGAGAATCCGCACATCGAGAAGACATATAACCCGCCACCACCCCGAAAGCGAACTATCGATCAGGAAAATGTATCTATCACCCCTCAAAGATCCGATTCGCCCAGCGCGCCAGCTCCCCTGGATGAACAAGTGCCCCATGCGCCAAGTTATTCAAGCGGTCCACCTCCATCGGTTCACAACCTCTTGGGCTTTCGGAACCTGGATTTGTATCGGACGATAGATACTTCTTCCATACTGATTCAATTTCTCGTATTCGCCCTCACGGTCTTGACGCCTTCAACTCCTTGGTTCCAGTTCCTTTTTGTCGCCAACGCGGCAGTCTGGAGAATCTGGTATTCTGTTGGTATCGGCTTGGTGCTCGACCGTCAGTCGAACTGTAAGGCCTGGACTCGACACTTTGTAAAATATGGCGAAAGCCCCCAGGAGGCCTGGAATCAGTGGAAAGGCACTTATCATATCAGCATGGTTATGTGCTACGCGAGCTTCATTGCTGCCGTCTGGAAGATGTACAGTTTTCCAGCGGATTGGGGCTATGGCCTCGTTTTGCTCAGACACGTCTTGGGTGCAGGGCTCATTGCCTTGCAAATCTGGACATCGGTCAGCATCTACGAATCTCTTGGAGAGTTTGGTTGGTTCTACGGAGATTTCTTCTTCGATGAATCGCCCAAGTTGACGTATGACGGCATTTACCGTTTCCTGAACAACCCTGAGCGTGTTCTGGGTTTGGCAGGTGTTTGGGGCGCCGTCCTTATCACCAGCAGTGGAGCTGTCACTTTCCTTGCCCTGATGAGCCATATTTTGAGCCTAGGGTTCATCCAATTTGTCGAGCGTCCTCACATGCAGAAGCTTTATGGCCGAAGCCTGCGACGAGATGCTGGTCTGACAAAGAGTTTGAAGCGATCCCTGCCTCCATCGCTACAGCAGCTTCATGGAAGTGTTGACAAAATCTTTGATGAATCTTTCGAATTCATTGAAGAACTCATTGACACTGCTCGTCCGAAGCTCGCGGCGGGTGTCAACACGTTTGTCAAAGACACGTCAGCTCTGTTCCAAAAGTATCCCGCTCGTGTGACTATCTCTCGTATTGATGAAGACCTGGCTGGCTATGACTCACGTGACTACTCCTTAGAGGTCGAAGGCACTGATTCATTGTCACCCAATGACAACGATCAAAGCGGTAGGGAGGGTGCCAATGCTCGTATGCCCCTTGACAGACGCGGCGACCTGAAGAACTTGGTCTTCGAGTATGGTTCACCCATCAAGGTTAAGTGGACGGCTCCGCTCAATCACAGCAAGAAAGATTGGATTGGCCTATATCGAGTCACCGACAACACTTCTCGGGAAGTTACACGTGTCTCATCTCAAGGGAGATGGATTGCAGTCAACGAGGGCTCGTATGACAATTTGACTTGCGAGAAGGGAATCGTGAGCAGCGACATTCTCATACCCGCCTCACAACGCAAGGACAACGAAAACCGCGATCTTGCTTCCGGTGAAGTTATCTTCTCTGGTGATAAGCTATTCTGGACTCAGGGTGTCTTTGAGTTCCGGTACCATCACAATGGCAAACACAATGTTATGGCTATTTCAAGACCATTCGAGATTCGTATCAGCCGGTTTGATGAGGATGAGATCCCGCTGATGGACCCTACATCAGTCGAGCTAAGCTTGTTTCCCGTTGTGCGTAACTGCTTTGATCGAGATCCCCAGATCGCGCCGGAAACCGTGGATGAGCCTTTTGGCAGTCTTGTTGAACGTGATGGAAGATATGCCAAGAGAATTGTGTTCGCGGTTCATCAAATGTGAGTCGACTTTGCTGCGTGGCTTTCGGAGGAGGTCGTACTAATGCTTTCGCAAAGGTTTGGTATCGAATTCGCTCCTGAGGTTGTCAAAGCTGACGGCAATGTCCACAACCTCGCCCGGAGGATATGCAATGCAAAAAGGGTCCTGGTATGTAGTCGTCTGCCTTCATACCTCAACACCTATTTTTCCGGCCGCTGAAGCTGACTTCTAATATTACATCGTGCAGGCTCCCTATAGTCTGACCAAGAATGGTGCAACGACACCAACTGAAGGGAAAGAGTAACCTGAAGATGAGAACCTATGTGGAACCAAGAGAAAACTCGGAAAAAAAAGGGAAAATGGAGACATGGTCTCCTAGCTTGACAATACGCAAACCGTTTCCTGTTCGCCTTCGCAGCTTATATTTGGATGAAAGATGAAGCCCTGATAGACAGGCTTATTGCCAATGTCATTCCGTTTGATTGTGCTGATCATTCATCTCTATCTCATCATGCACACTAAAGACGAACCCTGAAGAAGATAAAAAAAAAAAAAGGAAAACTATTATACAGGCCGCGATGACGGGAGTACATTGAGATGCAAAGCATACATTACTCCGAGTGATTGAGACAGCAGAAGCTCAAAGGGTTTATAGTTTCATGGTACATATTCAGTGGCACTATTTATATATACCATAGAGAATGAAGAATTCGTGTTTGTACTGTTCGTAGATGAATTTTCCTTGTATTGGATATATTTCGATCTAATAGGCAAGCCTAGTCTAACTACCGAGTACGATTTGACGAGAAAAGCCTACAACTTCAGAGCGGTCAGCAGGCATCTTAAGCTGACATGGGAGTTCGACAGCGCAGCAGCACGACGGGACACCTCGAATAAAGGCAAACTCGAAAAGAGTTCGCAGTAAGGTGTTGATCAGCCAAGCCGGTAAATTCATCCCATCCCCTGCCAAGTTCTTCCCCCCGTCAGATCATCCAAAACGAACGATGAGTCGGGTGAAAGGCGTTGGCACAAGTCAAGCGTAGCAAACACACCGACAGGTCTCAGCACGGAGCAAGACGATTGAGCCCGCTGTTCAGTGCTCCACAACCAATCATCCCTTCCATCCAGCGGAATTCAGAAGAAATACAGCGGAGAGAAAGTCCGGTATAGGGGAGTTGAACAGGCGGATCGCAGTGCTCCTATTGTGCTGTGTTGCCGGCAGCTGCGGGCTCGAGGGGCGGTTCTCCAAGGGAGATCATTGAATGGATTGACTTGTTGTCATCATAAAGGATTGTGTGTGGCAGTGATGAGTCAGGGAAGAAGGAACTGTACCTATTACTAGTAATGCCAGGAAGTTGTGCTTGAGTTAAGCAGTTGTGCAATTTCTATTTCTTCGAAATCATCAGCAATCCGCATGATCAAGAACTTCGGTGGATTGGAATAACAAGTAGAATCTTTCAAAAATGATCAGGAGTTTTTGGTAAGGTATTTTGTTTTCTTCAAGGTTTTTGCAGAAGCAGAACTGAAAAAAATGTCTCTCATCACGAAGAGGATATGGGTGGTGTGACCGTCAAGGAAGTGAGCAAAAACATACCTAACAGAGCCTACAGTGTGCGAGATTTCTGAGAAAACGAAAGTGCGATTTTCCTGTCTGATGAATTGGTCAGCAAGACTGCTTGGAGCAAAACGAGCTGATAGCAATTGTGGATTGGAAGTTTGATCAGATGGTGATGCATGTTTGTTCAAGCCCATTTATTTGTCGCCGGAACTTAAGATTTTTGGAAATCAATTTCGTCATGAAGGGTGTGGATTGGCAGTGTGATGGGGTAGACCAACTTACAGTGAGTAAGTGAGTATCAGGATGTTTTGAGCAGATGGCAGTTTAAAAGCTGATGCACTTCTATCAACTACTCAGGCCTCATCATCAGAAGTCTAGTTGGTTGGCAGTCAAGCATAGAGAAGATGAAGAGGAAGAGGAGAAAAACAGAGAAAAAATAGTCGAGTGGGAAAAAGTGTGACCCACCAGCGGACGAAGACAAACAGTGCAAACATCTTCTGAAATCGCAGATTTCCGTTTCTGGACTGGGAAAGAAAGTTGCTGGAAGGTTGCTTGTCTGTTAAAGAAGCATTGGCAATTCCCTCTTTTATCAATTGTTATTGCCGTTTTTCTTTTGATTCTAAGCTTCTTCTCATTCCCAGTAGACCTGCTATGACTGACCGACGAAGAATCAATGGGCCGCCCAGTGGCACAAGGCCTGTGGTCTTTGCATCGTCGCTCAAATCTACGACTGATACTGCATCTGGCAGGCCACAACGGCAAAGGCAGCCAAATGAACTGCGCAAAATATGTGAGATATAAGTTCAATACATCGCCCGCGCAAGAGCTAACATGTCCGCGTATCAGTCCTCAAGACTGGCTTGATTCCGTCCGCATCTGGCTCCTCATACCTCGAATTCGAACCCTCAGCCTCCCTCGCCGCTGCACGCTCTTCTCCTCAATCTCTCATCCCTCCTTCTTCAGCGCTGAAGCTCGCATGCACTGTTCACGGACCGAAACCGCTTCCCCGCTCTGCTACATTCTCGCCCAACCTTGTCCTCACCACTCATGTCAAATATGCGCCGTTCGCTGCCCGCAGGAGGAAAGGGCACATCCGAGACACTAGCGAACGGGACCTGGGTGTACATTTAGAGACCGCGCTGCGGGGTGTTATTGTTGCTGAACGGTGGCCGAAGAGTGGATTGGATATCACGATTACGATCTTAGAGGCAGAAGATGATCGGTGGTGGGGGGATGCGCCAGACTCTCATGATGCTCCGTGGGGGATGATGAATGTTCTGGCTGGATGCATCACGGCTGCCTCTGCGGCTATTGCGGATGCGCGGATCGACTGTTTGGATCTCGTGGCTGGCGGCGTAGCTGCTCTTGTTTCTGATGAGTTGCCGGAGGGAGAGAGGTCAGCGCCGAAGCTTATGCTGGATACTGACCCTGCTGAACATCGGTCTATCCTGTCAGCATGTGTCGTCGCATATATGCCTTCTCGGGATGAGATTACAGAAATATGGCTTAAGGGGGATAGTTCGAAGGTTCTATTAGCGCCCGATGACAAGCGCTCGGGGCATGATGCTTTAATAGATGGGGCGGTGGACGCTGCTCGGGGAGCGCATACGGTTCTGGCAGAGGCAGTGAGGGAATCTGCTGAACGGTTCGCCGGCCTTGCTACAGTTTGAGGTCTTATGTAATGAACGAAGAAATAATACCAACGTCTTGAAGGATCCTTTTCAGTTGTCATATTACGATTAGTTGTGATAGAGCAGCAGTCATTGCTCCCTCATTGAAATCCTTAAATTCAGTGGAATCATAGGTTGAGTGGGCTCTCACTGTGTATACTACCAGTGAATCAAACACCGCGTAAGGCGGTTTAGGACTAAACCACTAGAGCAGATGTTCTGCCTGCTGGTGAGGTGAGCTCGTCTCATTCCGAAATAAACACCAACCTCTCGTCTGGCCACTCTCTCCCTCACCAACTTCCATTCATCCTCACTTTGATCTCCAAATTGATCAAAGCATTCTCGTTACATCTTTCTCTCCCCATCACATCCGACTCAAAACGTCGCGATGCCCAAGTCAACCCTTGACGAGCAGCACATCTTCATGTATCACATCCTTAACGGAGTGAACGACAAGACCGTAAGTCCTCCCTTGAGAATAATGAAACGAGCATAGACGAGTAGCACCGGAGGAACCGCTTGATGTCAATCGGTTCATCCTTCATGATGCTCTCCTCGAGGACACAACTGACCGCACTTCGTTTCTCATAGATCGACTGGGACCCCGTCTGCAAGGCCACCAGTCTGAACAAGAAGGCTGCTAAACTGAGATGGGTCCGTCTCAAGGCAAAGATCGAAGGCGCTCTGAAGGGAAACGAGACTGAAAGCGCTGACGACATCGCCGCGAAGTCTGGCAACGGCAACGGCAACGCCGAAGTCAAGCCTGAAGCCGAAAAAGCGCCTGGCAAGGCTATGCCCAAAATGGGTGTTTTCAAGCCCCGTCGTTCCAAGAACGTCAACACCGCTGAATCTGAGATCGCTCCCCCTGCTAAGAAGAGACGCACCTCTAAGCGCAATAAAGACGATCAGACCGACAGCGACGACGCCAACAAGGGTGCTTCTGAGGCTACTGCCGAGAAATAGCTGGATTCCATCGTTTGGACGATCATTCTTTCTCCACGAGCACTTGTGGCCATGGCACCTTTGGGACGAGCATTTTCTTTGCAGCAGCGATGAAATGGAGTTAGTTTGGTTCAGTAACATGAAGCATCTTTTGGTGCATTGCCTGGTTGGATGGATTTGTGTTTGTTACTGGCAGTTACATGAACACAGGAAGAGGTGTGTTGAACCTGGAGGATAGTAGATAGGAGCTCTAGGTTAATTTAAACTACAAGTTAAGGGTTTCATGGAGCACGTGAGCCAGCATGACTGCAGAATGTAGGCGGTGAGAACCTATTGGCGTGCCTGAATGTCATGGCATATGATCTGTATTCAGTGCCGAGGGTCTTACCCCTACCCAGACTCTTTGCTCCCTTCCATCGTACACTAATATAGAATCCTAGAGCATAAAGTACTCCTGCGCCTCTCTATGCACTTCTTTGTCCGCAATATCAGCATTCACATGTGGCGGCGTTTCGCTTTACCGCGGACACACAAAGTAATTACTCTGTAGATCAGGTAGTCCACGCCTATGATAGCGCATCTGCCAGGGATAATTGCACTGTAATCACAAAGTACCACCGGATATAGAAACATATTGGCAAGCTTTAGCCGGTAATCCGTGGTGGTGATGGCTTGGAGACTAATTTCCTTAAGATTAGGATCGTTGGCCCAGATTCCCGATATTGCTAGCTCCAGAGTTGGTGTAGTTCGCAAATAGAACTATGTCAACCTGACAACCAAGAGTTCTAGTCCCGTCCATAAACACGGCGGGATACTTTTCGCTTTCGACTCGTTCTTGACACATCGAAGGCACCAGAGACCATAACGGAGAAGAAATAGAAACATGATCCTGTCGGCTCCACCGTGGCTTTAACTGTTTGCGTGTTTCCCGCTTCGTCTCTCTGCTGGATGTACTGGGAAGTCAGGGGAAGTTAGGGACTTTTGGTGGGATACTTCGAGTCCATCTCATGGTCCCACTACCACGTAAGAGCGGCATGGACGACAGGTAATTACCGATGATAGCGCAGAGATGGTCAATTGCATCAAATATACCAGCGGGAACGGGCGCGTGACTCTCCGTGGACGTTCCCCGATCGAGGCTTTCCCTTTGTTGGACCTTCGAGGCTCAGACAGCATCAAGATTTGGCTATCCACCATCGGTGTTTCACAGCTCGAAGTTTGATCGAATTATCTCAACCTAATCACTCCATCGTCAATGAACGCCTAGATTATCTATAACATTGGTCCTCAGCGAATTGTGGATAATGGCCTGCAGGTACGATGTTAAGCTGTTTGACATATTGACACAGGGGTCTTGGGAACCAGAAGAACAAGAGGAACAGAGTTTTGATTGCTAACGTCTCTGCTGTCAGACAGGTCGTAAGCGAAGTGAAACCCTGCCAGACGCCAGGGACTGAACGTTGCGCGAGAAATTTTGCTACACTCCAAACTCCAAACTCCAAAAACTACAATCCACAATCTTTCTGATCCAAGGCTATGGGCTCGATTCGCTGGTTCCTTCAGGTGATTGAGACCGTTCCTGGCCTACTGGACGATCCCACGGCGCCCACCAATAACTGGTCTTGTTTAACGCGCTGGGTGCTCGCGGGATCCATCGAGACCCATTTTTCTGCTTTTTTGACTGGTATCTGCTTCTCCATTCCGTTAGTCAACAGCTTAAGTCCATCCCATAAACTTCACAGCAGGTGGCTATGTGACTGAGAATTGAGCACCTTTGATGCGCCGTTCATCTATGCTCGTTACAGCTGAATTGATTCTAATCGCTATGCTGCCTGTGGCTGTCGTTTCTAGGGTTTCAAATCCGTTCAACCGAGATCCTGGGTATGCTGGCAATGCAGGCTGCAGCATTGCATTTGCAGCCATTGCTCTTGAGTGGGGTGAGCTTGAGCTTTGACTTGGTAAATGGTAAGGGTCTAGGTCATGCATATTCTGGATATGCACTGCGCAAGAACTTTAAAGCAAAGACTGCTGCAGACTGCACGTTCTCGGGAACCGTCTTAAAAAGTTCTCCTTGTCGATTGTGACTTTGTCAGTATGCCATAGCCACCACGAGAAGTGGCCAAGGTGAAGTCTCAATGGGCCTGGTACTCCGTCCTTGGTAGTTGATATGAACTTCTCTGTAGCCTATTGAATTAAAAATCGGACTCAAGCGGTACACTAATCTAACCCCTCCTGAAAGAGACCCAGAGTTCTGTCTGTGTGTGCCTCTTAGCTTCGGTTTCTCAGTGGATATCCGGAACTGAGCCACTACTTCCCCCTGATCCAGGAACGACTGTCGGATCTGCGAACTCGACAGCATTTGAATTATTAAATCATTTTCAATTGCCTGGCGGATTATCTCTCCTTTGCAGGATCCGAATATCTCAATCCTCTGGGGACTCTCCCTTTCTCTTTCTCGACTCGTTAAGACGAAATATGCAGGTTACTTGTCTGGGATAACCCAGAATTGAATTGAGCCTGATTCATAAAGCATTGAAGCAATCATGTCGAATGATACGATCTTTGAGACAGTCTAATCGCTCTTCCGATTCCATTCTTTGTCAACTTTACCGGGATCAGTATTCCTTTGTTATCTTTTCGGGTACGGAGTGCTCCGTACATCTGAGCTTCTTCGGTACCAAAGACAATCCCTTTTATACAGGAATTCCCTCGCTTGTGATACTTCTGTTCAACCAAATTTCTCTGGCTATCGTTCATCATGGCTATCCTGAAGAGACTTTTCCAGGCGGAAAAAAGTTCATCAGCAAATACTGCTGATTCAGATGAAACCCGGAGCCCACCAACTCAAGCTGTCAATCCACTGCAGAGGTCCCTGAGCTTAAATACTTCACGGCAGCTGGACGCCGACGAACATTTTCAAAGCATTGACAAACAGTTCGAAGAATTGCACGATCAAATGCAGACACGACCTTTATCTTCTCTCTCCCATGCTCCCACGTCTCGTGCCTCAAGTCGTTTCACGCAGCACAATCCGCGACATGTCGATCTGCTGGAGGCTTTGTTCTCGTCGCATAGATATCAGGTGCAGATAGCCAATGCATTGTCGCCGACTACTCCTTTCAATGAAGATATCGCTGAGCGCAATATGGTTCGATTCCTTCAGGGTCAGCCGAGGACGAAGAAGGTTTATTCCCGTATCATCTCGGCTCTTTATCAAGAAGATGTGGCGGACAGGAACATTGCAAAGAATCGAATGAACAAACGCACAATATCCCGAAGCGCTAGCTCTCGATCGCAGCCTGCATCAGCATCGACTGGTGAGGTAACTCACCGTGAAATCGGCAGCCAGTCCCTTACACGGGCCAATGGGGGCAAAATCACACCGGCAAGCTCACGGCCAGGTTCGAGCTCCTCGTCTCAACCTCGTTCTTTACGGACTCACAAGTCAGCGCCAAATATAATGGCTGAATGTACAAATGCGTCAGGAGAACAATCTGTACCTAATGGTGGAGGCTACTTGGACGTCCCTCCAGCTCACAAGCAAGGCGACCAATGGAGCAACACACCGCTACCGGACAGTCCAACCTTACCTGTGCCAATTACTCAAGCCCGAAAGATGGGTCCATCGGGAGGGAGGGGCACTCCTGAACTGACGAGAAGCTCGCCGTCAATCCGCAGTAATGGCTCATCTACATCACCCAGACTCAACTCCAAGAAAAACGTCCGGGACCTTTCTATCAACACGGAGTTAGCTGCTCGAGGAAAACCTAAGTCAAGGATCTCGCACTGTGCGATCCAGCCACCAACTCCTAGCAATCATGATGTCAAACAGAATCCTAGCATTGCCGAAGTCATGAACAGCCCCTTACCACTCCGAACCCCCACGTTGATGTTTCCTCTGCCCCCCTCAAACCAGAAGGCGGAGGTAGTGGGCATGTTCAAGCAGGCTTTGAATTCCTCTGCAGTAACTATCTCGCCCCATCCCACCTTTGAGACTCTACAGGACGCGATAGTTCGAGAGATTAACTCTCATGAAGCTTTTCGGCGTGTTCCTGTCCCTGTCCTTGAAGCAGGTCCTCTCTTTACACCGTCCTCATCTCAGGATTCTTTTGATCGAGACGAAATCTCGGCAACTCGAGGGCCGACTAGGAGCTTTTCCACAAAAGAAATGCAATTTTCCAAACTAATCAGGCGCAGCTCTTTCAAAAAGCATAAAAGAGGCTCGGAGCGCAAGAGCATATCAACTACCACACCTGCGATAGTCTTCCGTCGAGGCTCCCCATCATCCAGGAGACGAAGGCACACAGATGCGCCGCCTCCGTCTCCGGGGTTTCTCGACGTGCCGCAAGACAGAAAGCTTGCGGACAATGACGAACCTAAAGAACAAGTGACATACATGGATATCCTCCTCCGATCACAGAAATCCCCTCCCAATTCCAAGTGGAGAAAGTCTCCAGAAGCAATTCGTGGTTTCGGACGAACCCAATCCTCCGGCACCCTCGGTTCATACAGCTTCTCGGATGGATCTAACCCCACAGCTTCAGTCTATTACATGCGTGCACAGACGTCTTCGTCGTCGAGTGACGGGCAGAACAGTATCTCCGCAGATGACAGTGACGAGGAGATAATCCAGCTCCCCGGCATTGCAACCTCCGGAGTCCAAATCCAGGCTGTCGACGAAAACAACGTCACCTACAAGATGGAGAATACCACTCCGAGAAACGCCTACCGGTTGATGAACTGGCCACACGGCACGCGCAGGACGCTTCCTCGTCGAGGAAGCTCCATCATGAGCGCAAGCAAGTCCGCACATCACCCCCCCAGACACGAACACCTGGGCCGGAGCGCACGTTCGGTCGAGTCTTACTGACTTTGGTAACATTCTATCCTCTCCCTCCCTCAGCGAGGGAATGAAAAAATGCTGAGACGAAGCGCTGCTGCAGTCCTTGACTCACACTCCTTGAAACACCAACTATCACATGACTATGTCTTTTCCTTATCTCTCGAATCATCCAGTTCCT